CTGCCACCCGCACCGAAAGGTTGTGGGTTCGATTCCCAGTCAAGGGCACGCACTTGGGTTGCCGGTATGATCCCCGGCCCCTGTTGGGGTGCGTGCGGAAGGCGGCCAATCGATGTGTCTCTCTCACATTGATGCTTCTCTCTCTCCCCCCTCCCTCTCTCCCTCCCTCCTGCTCTCTCCCTAAAAATCAATGGAAAAAACATCCTCGAGTGAAGATTAACTAACTAACTAACTAACTAAANTCCCTCCCTCCTGCTCTCTCCCTAAAAATCAATGGAAAAAACATCCTCGAGTGAAGATTAACTAACTAACTAAATAAATAAATAAATAAACTTCAGAGTGAGAGGCCTGACTTGGGGTGGACTCACCAATCTGAGACAGCCAGGACCTTGGGGACATGAGCTGGGGCCACTCTGCACGCAGCGAGCCTGCTCCGGCTGGGTCAGGGCTGTGGTCACCACCTTCACTCTCTCCTCCAATGGGTGGGGTAACACCCCTGAGGCCTCTGGCAAGTAGGCGGCACTTCCCAGAACCTCCCTCCTGGTCCCCCTGACTGTGGTGCGTGACACCCTGCCCACCCTTCCTTCCTGGCCACGGCTCTGCAGCAGCTTGGAGCTCAGGGCCGGATGGAGACTGGCATCCAGCTGCAAGCGCAGGCCTGCTTCCCCCTGGGCACCTGTGATTGGCACTGACTGGAGAGCCCCGTACAGGAAGGACCCTTGATTTAGGGCTGGCAGTGAGCCAGTCACAGCAGGAGAACCCGGAGACCCATGGCCAGTGTTCCCCGTTGCCATGGCCTCGAGCCTCAGAAGGCCCGTGGAGAGGGCGACAGGCCCGCAGCTGCAGCTCAGGGCTCCAGCACCTGCACTGTCAAGGTGGGAGGGTGCGGTGGACGCTGCGGGCGCTGCCTGGGGACCCTCTTCAGGACAGAAGTGCACACTGCCTGCCGTGGCTACGGCCCAAGGCCCCTCTAGAATTGCCTTCAGCAAGCGGCTCTCAGAGGCCAGGTATCCAGGGGCCAGCCTGGGGTGTCAGCTCAGGTCCCCCAGCCCAGAGCGCCCTCTGCCCCTCCGGCTTCACTCCCTGCTTCAGGTGGGGCTGTGAAGAGAACTCTCAGGAAACCGTGTGCAAACTTCCATCTCAAAGGGGCTTCCTTGTCCCCCCCTCCTGTCCATGCACGGGGGCATTCCTGCTGACCGGAGGGTGGCCTCGCCTCGCCACAGCCCACATGGCAGCCCTGGGGGACCCAAGCCCTGAGTGAGGGGCTGGTGCCCTAGGGGGCTGAGGGTGACAGTGAGAACCTGGCCAGGCCGCCTGTAGGAGGAAAGGAGCCAGAGACAAGGGACTCGGTCCCTCTGCCTGGGGACCACCTGGAGGAGAGCAGAGGGAGGAGAGGGAGCTTCCGTATGAGTTTCTGGGTGAGGCTGCCAGCTCCCACTGCCCGGCAGGTGCCCAGGGGATGCTGTGAGCAGCAGCCTGTCTGCAGACTGGAGCCGGGTGGAGTGTCAGGTGCTGCGGTGGGCACCGTGGGTGGCAGAGCTCTGAGAGCCTGGCAGTGGCGCCCCTCCATAAGAGGCATGTGCCAGGGGGCATCTCCTCATGGCCAGTGCTGTCCTGGTGGCAGGGGCTGGAGGACACCAGGCTCCCAGGAGACAGGCTGCCGTCTAGACTCTGCACAACATGGGGCAGCGGACACATCTCTCCGTGTGTGGGTGTCACTGTGGTCTGACTGCTGTGTCACCATCTGGATGGTCACTTTGGGGATACGGGCAGCAATTTCCTACAGTTGGACTCTGCCTTCTACTGCTCCTGCCCTCGGAGGAAGGGTAGCCCTGAGGCAGGTCCCTGTGATCCAGGCAGGCAGACGGACAGGAGCAGGGCAGGAGCAATGGGCCAGATACAAGTCACCAGGGCAGGAAGCCCGGGTGCCCAGCTACAGGCAAAACTGGGACAAGTATTTTAGGCTAGAACTTTCCGCCTGCACTGCAGCTGGGTGGGGCAGGCCTGACACACCCTTCGAGCAGGGGCCTGGTCTCGTGTGCTTAGGAAGAACCCTGCTGAGCGCACGTGGACGGTGGGGACCCCAGGCACACAGGCAGCTGGGCCCTACGACAGGGCACTGCAGCCCCTCTTCACGGACTGCCTCCTCCCCACACCACCTGTGGCCAGGCTTGACCCCCAGCAGGGATAGGACGAGCCTTCTTGAAGCCAACTGCCTCCGAGGAAAGACTCACAGACACTGGGCACTGGCCAGACAGGTGACCCAGACTGTTAGAAATAGTGACATGGGGCTGCTCAGCAGCACCTCGGTCTCTGTATGAAAATTGTCAACCACATCAAACCCAGCTCTCTGACCAGAAGCGTTTCCGTTCTGGACAGTTCCCTGGGTCCCTCCTGCCTATTTTATACTCTGCAGCCACCTAGACCTGTCCACTCCTTGGGGATCACAGATGGCCACCACTTCTTGGTAGACACCTCACTCTTAGCTGACCGCCCACACTTCCTCTGGCTGCTCCCAAGCGGTCTGGGTTGCCAGACCCTCTCCAGGGTGACTGTGACCAGTGCTGAAAAGTGTCCTGAGACAGATAAAACACCCCAGGTGTAATCCTAGCAGAGGGAGCATAAGCTTATGTCCTCCCGCATTCTGGGCCCTATACTCCTGTTGATACAGCCTCACAATGAATCGGCTTTTCTCTCAGATGCCTATTGGTTGCTAATTAGTGATGAACCTGGTCCTGACCAATGTACCAGGCTGTCCTTAAGCCCGGGGGTGGGGGGGCCTGGTGAGAGGCTCCCCACTTGGCCTGGCCCAGCCCAGAGGCCCAACTCCAGTGTAGGACACCCCAAGTCTGTATCAGTTCCCGGGCTGCTCACCATCTGTGCTTCTGTCTCGGTTTCTCTTCTTGTCACCCCTCAGGGATTCTGTGGAAGCCCAGCGGCCTCCCCTGGGCTGGTGTTATCAGAGAAATGCATGGTTGGTATTTCTCCATTGCTAGTGGGAGTGGGGTTCTTGGGGGACAGCTGGAATAAGCATTTCTGGAGGCCCCCCCGGGGGGATGAGATTGGTAGAAAGCTTTATTTTCGTGGAATTATATGGCTTGGTTTCCAAAGTCCCATTGCCCTTAACCCAGTCCTGGAAGAGGTGCAGCTGGGGACCCAGCAGAGCTGGAAGCAGAGTCAGAGTCAGAGTTTCCGATCCACGGTGGAGGCGGGTCTGGTGTAGCTTCAGCTCAGGAGACCCGCCCGCCCGGAGACCCTGGGGAGGCCCCAGGAAGGGAGCTTCCCCCCTCCTGCTGCGTTAATTTCCTCCCCCCCACCTGTGCCGACGTCACAGCTGCTGCCCCTCGGAGCTCAGAGGAGCCTCTGAATCCTTCTTAACACAGGTTCTAGGAGGTTCCTGCCGCCTGGCCAGAGTTAACCTTCGGACTAACACTCTTCTCTGGTGCTGGTCTGCACCGGCCCTCTGGGCACCTCTCTC